TTGAGCAAATTCAATGGGGGGGGGGTATGGGGACTGAATCAATTCCCAAATTAGGGTTTATGTTGATCAATTTGACAGCCTTACCCCAAATTCTATGTATTTGTTTTTTTTTTTAAAAGGAAGAGCTTCAATGTTCCCATCTTTGTGGGTACCAGAGGTTGAGAGGGGGAGAGGGAGAAGAGGGAGAGGGGGACCAAATGAGGACTTGATATTTAAATCAACTTGCCAGAAACTCTAGAAATCCCAGGAACTCAGATGTTGCTGTTTCTGCAGAGCCTCCGGTGGGGAAGGTGACTCACAAGGTGGTGGACGACAGCCTGGAGGTCCTCATCTGCCAGGCCTTTGGCTTCTACCCCAAGGAGATCCAGACCACTTGGATCAGGGATGGAGAAGTCTGCCAGAATGAGACCCTCCATAGAAACGTGGCCCCCAACTCAGATGGGACCTATTATGTCCGGCTCAGCATTGAGATTGACCCCAAGGAGAGGGACCGTTTTTGGTGTCACCTGGAGCATCAGGGCTTGCAGGAGCCTCTGGTCTTGGCCTGGAAGGAGGAAACAGGTGAGAGGCTGAGCAGTTATGACATCTTGATGAGATGGGTGGCATCTATATTTATTAAATAAATAAATAAAAATGTGTAGGTTGTTCACTAACGTTGGTTGGTTTTCTGCTATGTCATCTAAAATTTTCCAAAGGAAAGGAGGAAATTTAGGACTCTGTTCAGTGGTGGTAAAGAAGTGATTATTGAGAGTGGAGTTGGAAGTGGAAACTTAAAAATAAAGACATGAGAATATGATACGATATGGAGATAGAAGATATGAGAGACATGAAACACGGTTTTGTTTTCTGTCAGAATTATCTGATGGGACACGTTGCCCCAGGTCATTCAATGTTCTTTTCAGCAGAGGAGGCTGCACCTTTGTCAGCCCAGCAAGATAAAAACCAATGCCGGCTACTTCAGAACTATTCCTTTTGCAAAGCTATAATATTCTTAACTATTGCAATCTGCACATGTTTTCTCCTCCCTCCATTTAGCTCCATGTAAACAAGGGAGGGATCTGCAAGACACATTTATTTAATCTGATTTCTTGGCCCAGGCTGAGGCACCATGTATCTGCCTGCTGCCTTGGTTGTACTTCATCCTTCTGCCCTTCAAGGCCATGTGCTCTTCCCTCTTCAGCCTCGGAGGGGAGGGAGGCTTCCTTCAGATGGGGGAACTGCCTGGAGGCCAGTTCAGGTTGGGAAATGCTTCCATTGCTCAGCATCTCCATGTCAGGGAGATCACCATCTGTCTAATCAGAACCATGTTTCTCTTTCTTTTGATATGTCATTAGTTCATTTGGTGAGATTGGTGACGATCATAATCTTGGCATCTGCGACTCTCTTCCTGATCTGTAAGTGAAACGTCTATTGATCCTGGGTTTTTGTGTGTTGGTTGATCTGGAATGGATAGATGAGAGCCTTCCTGGGTTTGCAGCCAGGACCCCCACAAGACCCTTCCCCACAAACAGCATTTTGCATGAGAATTAAAGAAGAAGAAGAAACTGGGCAGGCATTTTTCCATTTCCTCTAAATCTCAGAATGTTCAACCTTGCTGCTTTTGGGGAGGAGCCTCTTTGTCCATGGACTTTCTTCAGAGGAGCACATACCAAATATCAGGGGTTCAGGAATCAAAGAAAAGTCCTATAAAAATCTGAGAAGAGCCAGAAAAGCCATAATCTCACCCTGAAGATGATCCCAGTGCCTTCTCACCTGGCAAGAGGGACCTTCAGGAAAGCTCTGGTAGAAGGTGGAGGTCGGGGAGGGAGGGGACCCATATTTTCTGCCTCTGCTTACAATCACATTTGGGAACAGACAACAGAGGGAAAGCTCCAAAACTGGAAGGAGTCACTGCTTGTTTGGCTTAGAGCAAGAGATGATGTGAGATGCGGGAAGTGTCTCCTCAGTTGAACTTCACCAAGTGTGGCTCAACACTACCAGGTCATTTTCTCAGCAACAAGGCAGAAGTGCTTTGCCATTTCTCTCCTCTAGGATGGGCCTTCTGACTTGCTTGCAATTGGTCTTGCTTGCTTGCCAGTCTCAGATGAAAGTGA